CAGGTAGCGTATTTTTCTAAATAGATCTCTCGGCTTTGTATATACTTTGATAGTACTGTTTTTTGTCGGCCTTACATCTTCGTTTTATTTCTTTATTGAGGTTTCTTAAACTAGCTTTTTCCCTTTCACTATGTACACCACTTTTACAAAGATTTCTTTTCATTAAAGTTAAAAAGGTAAAAAAGTTACCTTATCAGCCCGTTTAGCAGTTAGCCGGTTTCTTTTAGACGAGTGGATAAAACCAAAAGTATTGAAACTTCATTCAGTTGCTGCACTGGATTAAGGCATACTTAATATATCCATTGTTATTTTATTTAATTTTGTTACGAAACATGTACTTTTCTATGTCTGCCATTATTTCAGCTGAGTCATCACCATATTTTAAAGTGGCTAAATTATCTATAAACTCAGTTCCCTCAACTTGTTCTTCTCTGCTTAAATGAACACCATTACACTTAGGCTCCAATATATTCGCTGCCAAATGAATTGAATGTATCGCCATTAGTTTCCATAGTGTTGTTTTACTTAGTGTGTAGTGAATTAGTTCGGGGACTTTGAACTTAGTAGGGGTTCTTCAGTACTCTCCGCAAGAAAGACTGGGCGGGGTAGTTCTCAACTCCGACACAGCGCGTCCCAATGACTGATAGGAAAGTTCCTGTAGATATGCAGGACAGGTACGAATAAGGCTTAGCTAATTAAGTACCCGCGGATCAACTGAGGACATGACGTAAAAGAAGCAAAGATAGAAACATCCTTGTGAAAATTCGGTTCCTCTCTAAGAAATGACCAAGGGGAAACGCTACTAGGATTCTACTCCAGAATGAACAGCTCTTTAACAAAAAGATGCACAGAAGATGGACCTGGGAAAGTTCAAACGGAAGAACAAGAAACAAAATCTACTACATCATAAGTGACAAAAAACAAATAATTAAAAATGTAGCAGTACTCAACAAGTTGACCACAAGCAGTAACCACAGAATGATACGAGCGAAAATCCAAATCAACATAAAAAGAGAAGGGAACATATTGATTAAAAATAAATTTCATTGTATCTGAACACCCCCATTAGATATCGACCCATATTAGGCATATATCAATAATAAGCTACTACTGCATGAAACCTCTGAAAACGAGCTTGATATGAACGACATGAATCATTGCATCATAAACGACGTACAAGAAAGTCACCGAGTGCACTGTCCTAAAAGAAAATCAGATAGTAAAATAAGTCCATATACTTAAACGCTGCTGGATCAAAGAAAACAAATGAGAACCATAAGCGTAATGCAGGTCGTCGAGTTTTACGAGGAATTATATGAAAGTAGATAAGATAATCAAACAGGAGTACAAACAGCCATTTCAAAGAAGATCATGAATGAAGGTTCCGAACTAATGCCGGAGATAAAGGTAGATGAGATTCGGCAAGCATTAGGAAAAATGAAAATAATAAAGCTTCAGGAGAGGATGCAATAGTAATAGAAGCTATCGTAAATAGAGGAGATATGCTATTAAATGAAATAAGAAAACTGTTTAATCTATGTTTGAATCATGGAGATGTGCCCAAAGAATGGAACAATGCTATAACCATCCCTTTTGCATAAAAAGACGATAGAATGGACCTAGAAAATTAGAGACTTATTAGCGTGTTGAACCACATATACAAGCTCTTCACTAGGTTAGTGACATTAAGATTGGAGAAAAAATTAGATTTCTATCAACTGAGTGAAATCTAGTGCAATAGTCTGTGGACTAGTTAGCACTCCGTTGCACATCGGAGTGCGTATCGGATTTCCTAGGCTATTGACCTGGAAATACCTATTTATCTCTCGAATAACATATATAAATATAGGTGATTTTCAGTTTAAATGAAGTTCACAAAATGATGGAAGAACTAAAATAGGCAATAGAACAAATAGGCCTGAACATAAACTTTGAAAAAACAAAATACATGACCAATTTAGTTCCAAGTGATGTTATGAGGGTATGTGGGAACGAAGTACATCAGGTCTTTAGCTATATCTATTTAGGGCATGAAATTAGAATAGGAAAAGACAATCAAACTTGTGAGATCCAGCGTCGCATAGACTTGGGATGGGCAGCATTTGGCAAGATGCGAGATATTCTAAAAGGAACGTTACCGATTTGCTTAAAGAAAAAGGTTTACAACCAATGCATACTGCCAGTAATAACATATGGTTCCGAAACAATAACTTTAACCAAACATTCTGCAAATAAATTGAGAGTAACCCAAAGAAAAATGGAAAGAGCAATGTTGGGAATAACTAAAAGAGATATGGTACCAAATAGGATAGTGAGAAAGAGGACTTAAGTGACAGATGTCATAGAAAAAATTGCACAAGCCAAATGGAGATGGGCTGGATATAGCACGTTTAAATAATAATAGGTGGACCAAAAGACTTATAGAATGGAGACCTAGAGAAGACAAAAGACACCGAGGCAGACCACCAAAAAGATGGATGGACGACTTGAGAAAAACAGTCGGAAATTGGATACAGAAGGCGCAAGATAAAGAACAGCGGAGGAACATGGAGGAGACCTATATCCAACAGTGGATGCAAGAGGTTGAGGAATGATGATGATGATGATGAATGATTTTAAAGTCAGCCAAGTCAGTCCCTTATGGACTCTCCTAGAGTCTAGTACTCTACGGGCTCAGCTCCTGTTCAAGTTTATACTCTGTGGCTGATATTATTTTCGACTTTAACTTGGTGTTATTATTTTGACCTGTAACAAACATTGTCATGTAAGAAATATCTTGTCTTTTTAAAACAAGACACCGAGGACAACAATTTTATACTCTGTAAATGGACTTGGATAGAGGATCCTTTGTACACGATATTCGAATCTCGAAACGACATGGCGCCCAACTTGGTTTTTGCACAGAAGGCACACAGATGAATCCACCGTGTGCCGGATTAAAAAATACAGCGGGGAGAACTTTGGATGTTAATGGACTCAGGCTAACACGCCGACATCGAGGCCTTCTGCAGACCTGATACCTACAGTGTGCAGACACCTTTGACGAGCTAGGCTTTTTCGAAGTTAGAAGTCCTAGATGCCAATGGAAGTCCCGGAGTAGGTCCAGTCACTGCCTCCTTACTGAGAAGTGGTCGGAATCATATAAGCTTAGGCAGACTGGCCTACGAAATCCTAGACTTAGGACCTAGACTAAGACGAGCCCGCCGAGGAAGTTGATATACCAACTGAGGATGAACCTGCAGGAGTGAAAGTCCATACCCTGTAAATGGACTTGGGTAGAGGATCCTTCGTACTTGATATTCGACGGATCCCTCTACAGAGCATCCGTCTTATTTGAAGGTGATTGGATCCTTATCAATTATCTTGAGACGCAAGAGCAGAGAGGATTCGGTTTAAATTATGGTACCAATGATCACCTCCATACAAGAAAGATACAGAAAAATCTATAAAATACAACAAACCTCTTGTCCTCACTTTCATAGATTTTCATAAAGCGTTTGACACGATCGCAATAGACAGCCTTATAGAAGCAATGAATGACAGCAGGATTGACTGTAGTTATAGTGAACGGTAAGATACACGATAGAACCCGACCAATAAAAATAAAACGTGGGATAAGACAAAGAGATGCATTGCCATCGAAATTATTCAAGAGTATTAGAGTATGCCTTTCAGATGCTCAATTGGGACCACAGAGGAATAACAATAGACGACGAAAAGCTTAACCATCTCTGTTTGGCAGATGATATTGCTTTTATCACAGAAAATTTAGGAGAAGCCACAGATATTTTAATGGACTTGGACTTTGCATGTTTGAAGGTGGGCCTTCAAACCAAAACTAAGTTTATGACTAATGTGGTGCCCAATAACCATTTAACGATTTAAGACAAACTGGTAAAACTGGTGGAGAAATATACATATTTGAGTCATGAAATAAGAATCAGCAAGGATAACAAAACATGTCAAATTTAAAGACGAATTACTTTAGCGTGGGCAACCTTTGGAAAAATGCGAGACACACTTAGGGTCAACGTACCAATTAGCCTAAAAAAAGTATTTGACCAATGCGTATTACCAGTCATGACCTATAGGGCGGAACTATGTAAAAACTAAGACTGCGGCTTCGAAATTGAGAGTGGTACAGAGATGAATGGAACAGTCTATGCTGGGAGTGACGTTGCGGGACCGAATAAGAAATGAAGTTCTACGAAGAAGGACGAGTATTACTGATGTTGTGGAACGCATAGCGGAATGGTCATGGAGGCGATGTAGAGAGAATGCACGACTCACGATGGACGATCAAACTTACAAATTGGAGGCCAAAAGCAGACAAACGTAGTAGAAAAAGATCACCTACACGTTGGGCTGACGATATCGGGAGTATCACAAAAAATTAGCAACAAAGAGCTCAAATTCGTAAAGAATGAAGGAGTAAAAGGGAAGCCTATGTCCAGCCGTGGACGTGATAAATAAATGTTTGATGATGATGACTAGTGCTGACATTTTCAGATAGCGTTAAGAGTAAAGCTCACCTCGACTTTTCGAAACTTAATTTGTTTCTAATCTACCCTTAATTGTTTTTTGTTACACAGCTCTTTTATTTATACTATAATTTTAATGATTTTACATATTTTTTATTTCTATCCTTACTTTTTATTACACTGATCACTGTTAACACACTTTTAGTTCGTATAAATAAAAAAAATTGGAAAATACAAAGCAGAAAAGGTGACTGTTGCGAATGATCAATAATGGCTATTTTCTTCAATAATTTTTTCTCTTTTTAAGCAATATACCAATTCTATGTTTTTTGTTACAGGTGATCGAAATGTATTCTCGCGTAGTGTCATTTGTGATAATATTCATCAGTTTGGCTGCTACTTCACCGATAGAAGAAACCAGCACCAGGTACACTGTCTACGAAGAAATAAACAATATTTCTTCTAATAATGAACAAAGTATTAGTCATCAAACCCACTTAAATTGCTCTTATGTTTTAGACGACCCCATAAAAACTTTATTACTAAAACAAATATCTGTGATAATGTTAAACAAGATGATTTTGCAACTAGTCGAAAACTTAAAATAAATTCAGCAAAAAAAGTCCTTGGTAGTAATAGTAGTAGTAGTAGTAGTATAAAGCCTACGAAAAAAACCAACTATACGATAGTAGTAAATTATAGCTCAAAAAACGATATTAAACAGACTCCTATTAAATTAACAACTCCTAAAAGTACTAAAATCACAACTAAAAAACAAATTAAGAAGACTACTGCAAAAATCAGCAACTTGTTTACGACAGTATCTCCCAAAAAGACAAAAATAAGTTCATCTAAACCTGCTATTAAACCTTTAGTAAGACTATCGACCCAAAAACAACCCGTAAAGGTTAATAATTTAGCAAGTTCTAAGAGAAAACCTCCTATCAATAAAAATGCAAAACCAGTTGTTCATAAAGTAATAACAAAATGGAAAGAAAATGCCGATCTGTTAGATTTAAAACAAATATACAAACAAAACCTAGCGATCCCAACCCCTAACCCAGAAGTAACTTCATCCTCTCCGCCATTTTCTCTCAATGATCTAGGTCCAATACCATCTTTAACTAATAATGGTGGTAACTTGAACGAATTAAATATTATGCCAGAAGTAAGTTCCCATTCTCCACCATTTTCTCTAACAGGTGTTCCCGATTTATCAGAGTTAGTCCCTATAGATCCTATACTACCACTCGCTGACACAGGTACTCAAGCTAAACCACTTAGCACTTTTAATCTAGATATGATTCCTAACAGCGACAATGGAGTAAAATCTCCTTGTCCTAGCATACATATATCTAGCTCTATGCTGCAACCGGATCTACGTCAGGAATGTTCTGATCTAAACTTGGTCCTAAACTCTCACATTCACCAAAATCCTAGCGACAGCAGCGGCACTAGACTACCTGCTGTTAGTACCTATGACTCTGATCCAGAAGCTGTAGAAGCAGAAGCAGAACCAGTATTTGATGCTGTAGAAAGTGAGCCGGTAGAGGCTGCAGCAGATCCAGGTGCAGGGGCTGGGCAATCGGTAATTCCACAAAGCGTCGGGACTCCCGGTAATGGCGGTACTGGAGGTACAGGTGGTAGTGGAAGTAATGGTGATGGTGGCGCCTGGAAATTTCCCGATCTCAGACATCTATTCGAAGCCATTGGATATATATGGAGAGGCCTGGGTTTTCTCTTTAATTTTTTGAAAAATCCCTATTTATATCTCGTTCCTATGGCTCTATTCTTCCTTTTAGGTTTTTTGAAGGTTCTAGTTTTATTTCCTTGGTGGATTCCTTTACTCATACTTTATATTAGTGTGAAGACAGGACAAAAGCCCAAACAGCGCATAGCGTTTTATCAACACGTGCATAAACCTGTAAAACATTTGGACGGGTGGTTTTGGAACCACAAAACAAAAACATGGCAGAACGTAAAGGACTACGTTTATAAAAAACGAAACGATTTTCCCGAAGCGATCAGTTTTGATCCCCACGATACTCTGCAGAAAGATCTACAAAGGATACATCAGTTATACAATGGTACCAGCGATGGATACAAAAGGTTTAAGCGAAAAACTTGGTGAGAGATATTATATAGTAAGGAAACGTATGAAATGAGTAATGTGCTAGTCAAATATTTATCCACTAAAAAATATAAGAGAAAAAAATAATTATTATATCATTAAATTAAAAGAAATCATTCGAGTGGACTGGCAGTGAATAATGTTTTTGTATATTTGGTCAATTCATGTATTAAGTGCTATTGCAAGGTTTAAAAAGTAAACTCTGGTTGCGATTGGACTCCAATTGGTATTAAACCAAAGATCCCAACCTACGTACTTTCGTAACATTGTATAGGTTTTGTAGAATCTGTCGTGGGTGTCCGTTTTCTATACTTCTATATCTCTTTATATTTTGGAATACTTCTTCATCCAAGTCTCTGGTATTTATTGCTTTCTCTGTTGCTAGTTTTCCAATTTAGTTTGGTCCCTTTTACTTTCTTATCTCTAACAGTTTCTAATTTTACGCAGCACTCATTGTAGTATGAATTAAAAACGACATCCGGTAGATGCGCGAAAGTCGCTAAGGCCAAAGGTCAAAGTGGACTAAAGTGTCTTCCTTTCTACTGAAAGGATGATATAATAAAATATTTTTCAAAATTTTCGACTAAAAACTTTTGCTTTTTATCTGTAAAAATCAGTGTTAGGACAAATAAAGTTTATTCTAAATCTACTGATGTCATTGGGCAATATTTTAATCCGTCTTTCTGTATGTTTTTCTCCGGTGGAGAACCGATAGATCCTCTTTTCCTTTTCTGCTCTATTTCTTGTTCTAATATAGATAGACTAGGCCTTCCCCTCTTCTTGAACCTACCTTTGCCCTCTTGACAAAGACGAGCGGCAATAGATGCTTTGAAATCTAAAACACTTGATTCATCGTTTTTTTCTTATATCAAGCAATTGGTCTCAAATTTAGGGCTCTTTTTGGCAATCTTTCAGTCTCTGTTCTCTCTACATGACCAGCCCATCGAAGTCTCTAAAGTTTTACGAATTCTGAGATCGGTGCCTCTTTGAACAGTTGGTAAAGTTCATGGGTGTACCTGGATATCCATACTCCATAGGTCGAAGTATCTTTCTTTTCAAAGACTTTCAGCTTTCGTTTTGTGTCTTTTGTCATCACCATATCATGCTATTGGTCTGATAATTGTTTTGAAGACCATGATTTCCGATCTCCAGTGTATGTTTTTGGAGCGAAACACATGGGCGAATGAAAAGTAAGGTTTGTTTCACTTTACTATTCTTCTTTGAATTATTGGTTATTCTGTTCCATCCTGTTTAATGTAACTTCCAGATATGTGAAATTTTCTAAAGTTTCGATATTGTCCTCTAATTCAACTGTGCGTCTGTTTTTCCTAGCTCTTTGCCACCTAGTTTATATATAGCTTAGATGGCATCTTGTAAATACCTGGAGTCTTGCTCTATGCTCATATTGCTTGTTTTACCTCTTTCATCGTCGGAGGTTCTCTTTTCTGTGTCTCCCTCAATGTGATGTCTGTCAATATGCTCTTCATTTTCTTGCTACCCTAGGAGAGTTTGGAAATAGGTTTTTCAGATTGATTGTATCTCTTTTGGATCATTGGTTATGTGCCCTTCTTGATTTCTGCATAGATTTGTTCGGGGTCTGTATCCTTCTCTTAAATTGCGCAGTTATCTATACGCCTCCCTTATATTGTTGTTTTGGAGATTTTCTTCGATTTTCTGTATATTACCGTTCTCGTATTTTCTTTTCTCTGTTATTCTCGGTATATTTTATCTGCCCTCCATTTTGTATCTTCGTAGAATCTCTTCTTTCTCTGATTCTTCTTTCCATATATTTCTTGTATTCTTTATTTCTTTTCTGTATGGCCTATTTACAATCTTGATTAAACAATTCTCTTTTTGTTCTCTCTTTCTCTTTCTTGTTGCTACAATTACTTTTATTTTAATTTCTTCCCAATATTCTTCTGTACCTAGACTGCCTGTATTTGTCAATGTTTGTGTTATTTCTGTCTTATAGTTCTGTTTTATATCTTGTTGTCTTAATTTGTGTATATCTGGTTGTACAGTTGTCTGTTCCTGTCTGTCCCTCCTGTTTATTTAAATTCTACATCTGTATTTTATCTGTACTAGGAGATAGTCAGATCCGCAGCATGCTCCTCTTCGACACTTCACATCTCGGATGCTCGTAGCGGCCCTTTTGTATATCATGACATGATCAATTTGATTGGCGGTTGTTCCACCATGCATAATCCATGATTCCATGTCGCTTTGTGTATGTCGCGGTGTTAGAAAAAAGTTGAGATGATGATCATGTTTTTTTCTACTGGCAAAGTTGATAAGTAATCCTCCATTTTCATTGGTATTTTGATGAAGTGAATGTTTACCAATGGTTGCTAAGAAACGTTTTTCTTTGCATATTGGAGCATTCATGTCTCCTATTACGGCCATTTCTCGGTGAGCTGTCTTATACTTCCTCTAGCTGTAAAAATCTTCTTTTATATTATTATTAAATATTTTATCTGTTTACAATGTTGGAATTTATTTGGTTGTAGTTGATACTCCTACGTTTTTCTCATTTTCATAATCTCATTTAAATATTTTTGAATTTAATAGTGTTGATTTCTCAATTTTATTATAAATGTGGTTTCTGTTGCTGAGATTTCTGTAGTACTTGTCATAGATGATCTATGAGACATTGTCTCATGTAAAACTTAACGGTACTTATAGTACTTATGAATTCGTATTTAACTAATTTAATTTAACTAATATTTAACGATGTAAAAATTTAAATTCATTAAAATTTCTAATTTCTTATCTAAATTTCCATTCCGATTAATATTTATTACACCTGCAAATGAACGACGAAAAATAAATTCTTCAATTTTATTAGAATGTCCATGTAGTTTCACAATTTGAAAGGATCGCCTAATTAGTGATTTTTCTTGGCCTGTTGAAAACAAGTGGATGCTTTCCAATCTAAGCATTGGCGCATAAAATTTGCTACTTTTATTTTTTGGTTTAAATTTGTACATTTTTGACGATATTATATTTATACTAAATATACAAAGTGTCCCAATCGACACGAAACTAGAAATAAGAAGATTTAGTTTAATTATATACAGTGTGATCCATTTAGATTGAAAATATGCCTTTAATATGGGTGGCTAGGAATAACAACTAGGAAAACAATGCGAAGTTTTAAATTCCATAAAAATCAGGAAATTGGAATACTTGGGGCACATCATGAGAGGTGAAAAGTACGAACTACTAAGGAATATAACGCAGGGTAAAATCAAAGGTAGAAGAAGCGTAGGAAGACGTAAAATCTCGTGGCTACGCAATCTCCGTGAATGGTTTGGATGCAGTTCAATTGAACTATTCAGGCGAGTAACCAATAAAATTATAATTGCCAGAATGATTTCCAATCTCCGATAGGAGTGGAACTTGAAGAAGAAGAAGATGGGTGACCTATTTCAACAAATCTTTCTGAATCTCAAATTATATATACTTCTAACATTTAAAATGTTTATTTCATTTTTGGGAGCATTCTACAACACTTTCTCGGTGTTTTTTTTAACTGTGCCACTGGATTATAAAGGGCTTCTAAATATATATGTCCACAATTGCATAAAAATATATGAACCAACTTAAAATTTAGAAATTAATTAGGTTAGCAGTCACAACTGAACACCTTCTACCTTCTTTTTTTAGTACCATACCTAGCAACCTGCGTGACAATTTGCTGACATGGTTCTCGATGTTGTGTAGTATTTATCTATTCATGAGCCACGTGTATTTATTTCTTCCTGCCAGTTTCCTTCTATTTCTCTGTTAACAGTATCAAGTATACTATCTACTTCTTATCTGCTATCAAGCATTCAAGTTTTTTCTTTTTTATAATTCTCGTCAATTCACCTTGACCTTCTTCTTCTTCAAGTTCCGCTCCTATCGGAGATTGGTAATCATTCTGGCAATTATAATTTTGTTGGTTACACGCCTGAATAGTTTCAATTGAACTGCATCCAAACCATTCACGGAGATTGCGTAGCCAGAGATTTTACGTCTTCCTACGCTTCTTCTGCCTTGATTTTACCCTGCATTATATTCCTTAGTAGTTCGTATTTTTCGCCTCTCATGATGTACCTCAAGTATTCTAATTTCCTAATTTTTATGGAATTTAAAACTTTGCATTGTTTTCCTCAGTTGTTCGAGAACTTGTTCGTTTGTTTTGCGATCCATCCATGATATTTTCAAAATACGTCGGTAACACCACATTTCGAATGCTTCTAGATTTTTAATGTTGGATTTTTTAAGTGTTCAAGCTTCAACCCCATACAAAAATGTAGAGAAAATATAACATCGAAGCATTCTTCTCCGGAGCGATATATTGATATCGCGAATATTGATATATTGATATCGCGACCTTGACCTTGACCAAACGTATTTATGATTTCATGACATATTTAAAACGATTTACTTTTGTAATAGGCTTGTTGTTGACAATTAGTTACATTGGGCCAACATCTTGTTTAATCACAAGTAGCTTTGTCTTTGATGTATTTCTGTCGAGACCATTATTGGAGCATTTTTTAGTAACTGGGTCTATAAGGAATTGAAGATCTTCTATATTTTTAGTAACAATCGCTGCATTGTCCGCATATCTGATGTTCGTGCCTAGTATAACCAAGTACGCGGAAACTGAGTTTTGGGGCAACACGGCATCTTGTCTGACTTTCGTTTAAGTGATAATTTTGCCTGTCTTGTTTTAGTATACCAGTACGAAGCAATTTTATTTCTAGAATCAAATATATTTGAAATGCCTGTCATATTTTTGATAGTTTCCATCTGTTGCTTTGCAATTTCATTTATTTCTATGGAGAAGTAGCTTGAGAAGCAGTTTGAAACAGTGACTTATAAGATTACTTAGTCTAACGCTGTTATATGATGGTGGATTAGTAATTACTATTTAAATAGGAATAAGCCACAATTTAAGGTTAAAGTACATTTATTGACGTTTCAATTTCCACTTCGGAAATTGTTC